GGCGGCGGTGGGGGTGGTGCAGGAGTGATGGCTTCATCATGTCTTGCCATTCGACTAATGTGGGAATTAAAGACCCTCCAGTGAGGGGCACCTGGGTGGCTCAGTGGGTTAAGTATCAGACTTGTGGTTTCAGCTCAGATCATGATCTCACAGGAGTTCAAGCCCTTGTGGAGAGCTCTGTGCTGACAGCGTGGAGCCTGCTTGGGATTCTCTCTCTCTGCCCCTCTCCTCACTGGCGCTGTCTCTGTCTCTCTCAAAAATAAATCAATCAACTAAAAAAGAAAAGCCTCCAGTGAACACCCAGCGTCAGGCAGGATGGGGTACAGTCTGCACCCGCCTCCTGTTCGCTGCTGTCTACACCCTGCTCCCATTATAGACTCATATACCTTCCCCTCCTTGATTCCTGAGTGTAATCCATCTGTAATGTTATGGTTCAAGAGTTTGACTCATCTGAGCACAACTGGGGCGAATGCCAGCCCCTCTGGTGGGATTACGGAGACCCTGAAACGGCTTTTCCAATGCTGTTTTCTCCTTCACAGAAATACAGCCATGGGGGAATACTCTGCTTCTCAACCCTGCTCATACCCTAAGTGGCCTGGTGAGTGGGTGTCAGAGCCCAACAGCAAATCTGGAAGAGACTGGGGGTGGCGGGTGCAGACTGCAAAGGGGACGGGGCTGCCAGGCACTGTGAATGGAGATCACACAGTTTGACCACAAGTTCACAAGAGTTTGGACTTGACTCTGTAGGCAGTGAGGAGTCATGGAAGGTTTTTGAGTAGGAGTGGCATCTCCTCACTTCTAAGGTATCAATACTTCTAAGGTATCGACCTCAGAAAACAGCTGGCTACACTGGGAGTGGACTGGAATATCAACATGCTAATCAGGAAGCTTGGCTATTTTCCAGGGGTAAAAAAGGCCACGGCCAAGGGGATGGGACATTTTGACAAAGGCTCATAACCTGGCTCACAGTGTCATGGGTGAGGTCTGCAGGATCGAGGGACATCTTGGCCACCCCTCTGGTGGAGTCCTTCCCAGTCAAGGCGTTGTAGGGGGCTCCTCGTCCATAAAACTCTGCAGTGGGGAAGAAAGGGGGAGGATGTGAGCGTGGACGTGCCCGTGAAACAGCCAGGAGACTGTACGTGCCAGGGGCGTGGGGGCTTCTGAGACCCAATCCAATGCTGAAAAGGGCTCCAGGTGGAAGGAGAGGGGAAGCAGTGAAGACATGAAGCCATCAGTCTGGATTCCACTGATTCAGAATATGGAAAAAGTCACACACCTGGGCTGAGAGGTGATTTAAAAAAAAAAAAAAAAAACGGAATGAAAATACTCTCTTAAAAATATTTAAAATGCAAACAAGAAAAATGTCCAGTCTTCTTAAATGTTGCCACCAACATTTAAGCCAAGTCTGCTTCCGTTCAACATCTTGTTTGGCAGACAATGAACCACAACAAAACTACCTCCCTGACATCACCTGTAGTTACCACCAGAGAAACCATGAAATGGCATTAAAAAGTTCAATCTTGGGGCGCCTGGGTGGCTTAGTCGGTTAAGCGTCCGACTTTCGCTTAGGTCATGATCTTGTGGTTCATGGGTTCAAGCCCCGCGTCGGGCTCTGTGCTGACTGCCGGCTCAGAGCCTGGAGCCTGTTTCAGTCTGTGACTCCCTCTCTTTCTGACCCTCCCCTGCTCACGCTCTCTCTGTCTCTCTCTCACTCCTAGAAATAAAAAAAAATTAAAAAAAAAATTAAAAAAAATTTTTCAATCTTGTTCTGTGATCCCAATGCCTTGCAAAGCAACACTCTTCCTCTTGTTGCTTCAGCTACAGTAAGTCATCAAGTTTGAATATGATTGCATAGGCAGCAGGGAGCCACAGACGGTCCTTGAGCAGGAGTGTGACATTATTAGAAAAACACTGTGGCAGTACAACACTGACAAAGATCGTTAATTTAATCTGAGGGAAAGGGACCCGGCCAGATCTCCTTCCCTTCCTTTGCATACCCAGCGCCCACTCTGGCTGCCAAGTTCCCCAGAAGTAAGGATTCATAAAGCTGAGCCACTTACCCTTTCCAGAAGTGACATCAAACACCACTCCTTTCACTGCCATGTAGATAGGCTGATCTTCCTAGAAAGCAGGGGAGAAGCTGTGAGGAGGAGCTCAAGAGCCCAGCTCCTCCAGCCCAAGTGAGTGACATCGCTTCCCACCACGGGCCGTGCAGACAGCAGTGGGTGGAGGTATAAAGCGGTCTTCCCTGAGCCGGTCCTCAGCAAGCTTGTCCCCGTCATGAGCGTGCCCGCCCCTGCCCAATGTCATGTCTGCTCACAGACTTTGGGAAGGTGTCACAAAGTATCATGACGAGCCTATGACAATATCTTTCTATAAACAAACCACAAACAAACCAGAGACTGAAGCAGCTCTCCACAGATAAAATTCAATGGATGTTAAACAATGAATTATTTACATCACCCCAAATTTCCTTTCATCTTTGTTAATGTACCTATGTGGATGGAATTGGTATAAATGATCCATCTTACATTTTGCCTCTTATAGGTAATACTGCTTTGTATAAACGTTCCCATGTGTCGAAATTATCAAAATGGCTGTCACTTAAACATCTCTATCTTATGTTAGTGCTACTGCATTCCTGTTTGTTCAGCTCTTCTTCTGTTTTGGGTATTTGGGTTCTTTGCAATTCCTTAAAACTATAAATGGTGGGGTTATGAGTATCTTTCTACAAGCTACTTTATAGTTTGGTGAGTTATTTCCTTGAGGCGTGCCATACATGGAAATTCTTGGACCAAAGCATATGAACAAAGTAATCAGTATTATTAAAAATTTAACCAGTGTGTCCTTCAAAAGGCCCGTTTAAAGTGCTAGAAATATACAAGCAATGCTGTTTCCCCGACAGCACTAACAATGAGTCTTATACTTCACTTTTTGCTATATTTGTGGGTCTAAAATGTTGCCTTTGAATTCTTACCTCTCTGCCCCCGGCCAAAGAGAATAACACAAAAACTGATGGCATGAATTTTGTAACTTCCGTCAAAGTGGACGCGGGCTGGGGCAATTGACATAGATCTTGGATATGCAGGGTCAGTCTCTTGTCTTAGCTGCATTATGGGTACAGGGACACCAGTCGGCCCATAGACTGGGGTGAAGGGAGGCATTGCAGCTGGATGCACGGGAATCTCAGGATCTCTAAGAACACACTGCTTGGCCTTCTCTAGGGTTGGGCCTTAAGGTTCTTACCCTTTCGGAGCTTAAAGTCAAGTGTTTTCATGAATACATTTAACAGAGAGAGAAGCAGGGGCTCAGAGAAGTTAAGCAACTTGGCCAAGCAAACATTATCTCACTGTCACATAACTTCACAGGCCTCAGTTTCTCTGTTATATAGAGGTAACACCCACTGACCCTGTAGGAATGCCGTGTGTGAGAACATGGGAGGTCCCACATAGGAACTCAGTAAATGGCTGGTTATCAGAGTCCCTATTAGCTCCCACAGATAGTCCCCAGAACTTCTGTTGACTTAGTGGATGCTTGTTCCACCTCAACTCATAAGAATTATATATTTTTTAAATTTTATTTTTAAGCAATCACTACCCTCAATGTGGGGCTCAAACTCACAACCCCCAGGCCAAGAGTCACATGCTCTACCAGCTGAGCCAGCTGGGGGTGGGGGTGGGGGGTTGTTCCTCCTGTGGAGCTGCTGTCCCTTGACAGCAGGGCGGCCGGCATGGTTTTCAGGCCCCGGAGGTGGCAGCTGAGAGGACAGGGTGAACGGAAGATCCGAGAGTGTAAACGCAGGCTCCGGAACAGACATGTCCTCAGAGACACCATAAAGACACACGCGCTCATCACCAGCTTCACACCGTGGTCCCCCACCATCTCATCCACCTGAAAGGATACGCATCATTTTTATCTGCACAGCAGGCCTGAAATAACAGCAGGTCTGCCTTTCTCCAAGAGCCCAAAGGAGGGGTCACCATGGTGGTGTGTTCCTAGCCCACGTCTTCAAGTCAAACAGGCCTGGGTGTGAACCATCACTAATAAGCTGTGCTGTCTTGGGCAAATTACTTAACTTGTCTGTGCCTCAGTCTTCTCTGTAATAAGATAATAAAAGTGTCCACTTGCTCGGCTATTGTGAGGATTAACCAAGACAAGAGATATGAAGCACTTAGCAGTTTAGGGAAATAAATGTTAGTTTCCCTTGTCCTTCCCTAGATTTTGAAAGTTATAAGATCCAAGAGGAATGAGATAAAGTACAAGAAGATTCTATCTCCCTAAAGGAAAAGTAGGAAAAAACTGTAATTCCCAAGTCACAGATAAGGAGGTAATGTAAGTTAAAACTAGAAGGGGCCTTGAAGATAATCTAACACCTTCATTTTACAGATGCAGCTATCCAGCCTGGGGAATTATGAGACTTGCCCAGAGTCCCAGAGGGAATTAGAGAAATTTCTGGAAACTGGAGCCTTGGAACCCAAGTATCATTCCACTCTCTGGCCTGTCCCACCAGCGGGCACACAGCGTGAAGACCGCATACTTGCCTGGGACCAGGAGAGGTTGAGAATGGCCTGGGAAACTCATCCACCCACAAGACTCAGGACCAACGGGTAAGACTCGGGCTGGGGCAGAGGTACTTAGGTGGAAGGGAATCAGAGGAAGCACCTGCATAAATGAGACCCGGACTTTTTCCTCTGTGCCTTGGGCTTGCTTTACCATCTGGCCTTCCTCCCTGCCCACAGGCAGGCAGGGCCAGCAGTTAGCCAGCCGTCCCTGAGCCTCCAACCCTCAGAGCCTGCACCAGGGCGCGGGGACAGAGCAGAAGCTCCTCCCTTGCTGAGTCTTCTTCTCCTTGGAAAAGCGGGAAAACAGTGTAGATGTTTGCTTCTGCAGAAATAACAGGGCCCTCCAAGGGTCTAAGGCCATGTTTTTCTAACTGCAATTGGCATTAGTAACTATTAGTGGGTCATGGAGTTCACTTAGTGATTTACTAACAGATTTTTTTAATGAAGTAGAAAAATAAAAGTTTAAAATAGAACAGAAAATAGAAAACATTGAAGTACATCACACATAGTAAAAATAAGGCTTGTTTCATGGAACTTGTTTTGTGTGTGTGTGCGTGCGTGTGTGTGTACACTAGGGTAGGATGCAAAACTGTTTTCCGTAACACAGGCCAAACATCTACAAGACATCACTCTATAATTAGGGTGGTTTCAACTCTTTATCTGTATCTATTCCATAGCCCTTACTGTCTGTATATTCTTTTTTTTAATGTTTATTTATTTTTGGGAGAGAGACAGAGAGAGAGACAAAGCATGAGTGAGGGAGGGGCAGAGAGAGAGTGCGACACAGAATCTGAAGCAGGCTCCAGGCTCTGAGCTGTCAGCACAGAGCCCGACATGGGGCTCGAATCCACAAATCGGGAGATCATGACCTGAGCCAAAGTGGGACATCCAGCTGACTGAGCCACCCAGGGGCCCCTGTATATTCTTTTTTTTTTTTTTTTAAATGTTTATTTATTTATTTTGAGAGAGAGCAAGTGAGAGCAAGTCAGGGACAGAGAGAGAGGGAATGAGAAAATCTCGAGCAGGCTCCACACTGTTGGCACAGAGCTTCCTCTCTCTCTGTCCCTCCTCCGCTCGCAGGTAAGCATGCACTCTCTCTCAAAATAATAAAGAAAAGCACTAAACAAATGTAACCCTGTCCGCCTCCCCACTTTAGTCCGGATTTCCAAGGAGAGCTGGTGCTAAGAACGGACAAATACCACCTACAGAGAATAACCGTGAAGCCTAGGGGACCTTGCCAAGCTCAGGGTCCAGGTCACTCTAAATAAACTCCCAAAACTAAACTACATCTTTTTTTGTTTGTTTTTTAATGTTTATTAATTTATTTTTGAGAGAGAGAGAGAGACAGAGAGAAAGAGGGGGGGAGGGGCAGAGAGAGACTCCCAAGCAGGCTCTGCTATCAGTGCAGAGCCCCACTTGGGGCTCAAATTCACAAACAGATCACGACCAGAGTTGAGATCAGGAGTTGGATACTTAACCAACTGATCCACCCAGGCGCCCCAAAAGTAAAATCTTCATCTTTTTTTCTAAATGTTTATTTATCTTTGAGAGAGAGCAAGCTAGTAGGACAGGAGCAGAGAGGGAATCAGAGGATGTGAAGCAGGCTCTGTGCTGATGGCAGTGAGCCAGATGTGGGGCTCAAACCCACAAACCGCGAGGTCATGACCTAAGCTGAAGTCAGAGGCTTAACCAATTAAACCACTAGGCACCCCCCCCATAAAATCTTTTCTTTTTTAATGTTTATTTATTTATTTATTTTTTATTTCTAGGAGAGAGAGAGAGACAGCGTGAGCAGGGGAGGGTCAGAGAGAGAGGGAGACACAGAATCTGAAACAGGCTCCAGGCTCTGAGCTAGCTCTCAGCACAGAGCCCGACGTGGGGCTCGAACCCACGAACCGCGAGATCATGACCTAAGCGAAAGTCAGACGCTTAACCGACAGCCACCCAGGCACCCCTAATGTTTATTTATTTTTGAGAGAGAGACAGAGAGAGACAAAGAGAGAGAGAAAGAGAGAGCAAGTGGGGGAGGGACAGAGAGAGGGAGACAGAACGTGAAGCGGGCTCCAGGCTCTGAGCTGTCAGCACAGAGCCCAATGTGAGGCTCTAACTCACGAACTATGAGATCATGACGTGAGCTGAAATTGGACGATTAACCCACTGAGCCACCCAGGCGCCCCCAAAAATAAAATATTTAAAATAAAATAAAACAAACAAACCTTTTTGGTTTTCAGAGCTTATTTGATTTTTGAATTGCAAAAGAGGGTTATGGACCTGTTATATTGCCTTTTGCTTATATCTTCAATAACAAGCTAATAAAAATAGCAGCTAAGATTTATTAATGCTTACTATGCTAAGATTACTGCAGGCCTAGCCAACACACTTTGCATATCACTGTCTCATTAAATCACAACCCTATATAGAGGAGGAACTCTTGTTGTAATCTTTATCATGGTCAATTTTATGTGCCAACTTTGATCAACTACAGTATCTAGGTACTGCTATGAAGATACTCTAGATGTGATTAACATCTACAATCGGTTGACTTTATGGAGATTATCCTGAATAACCTGGGTGGGCCTAACTGCATCAGTTGAAAGACCGTAAGAACAGAATTGAGGTTTCTCTGGTGAAGAAGAAATTCTACTGGCAGGCTAGGACATCAGCTACTGCCCAGGGGTTCAGGCCTGCTCTAAGGCTTTCAGACTTGCCTAGCCAGCACGCATGATAACATAAACCAATTCCTACAAGAAACCAAATATGTTATCTGCTACTGGTTTTGTTTCTGATGGACTCTTGACTGATAAAAGCATCTTATAGATGGAAAAAAAAAATGAGATTCCAAGAGCTTTAGTAATTTACCCAAAGTGACACCACAAAACAGGGACTCATAGCCAGGTATGATCCAAAGGTATAAGGCTTGAACTAGGGCACCGTATAATGTATTTTACAAACAATGACACTTCTGAGAGTGAAAGGGGGGTGTTGTTAGTAATTATGCCCAGACAACAGGCATAAACCAGAACCACCTAGGGCAGATCAGAGCACAGCAAGGCTCTACTCAGCTGCACTCTACAGCCCCTCTCCTCTCTCTCTCTGCTTACAGACCCCAAAACAATGCTCTCCTTAACTGTTTCCATCTCAAGCTTCCCTCTTACTTCCCTTGGTTAAGTATCAATCAATAATGTAAGCATAAAAAAAAACAAAAAAAAAAAAAACAAGGATCTTTCCTCCATCGTCATCCTGCAGCCCCTGGGGCTGTTGTTTCAACTACCCTCAACCTTGAACTCTCTTCTCTTGTGTTCTGTGCTGGGGGTCCCCAGGTTTGCCACCATGTTTGAAGATTCGCTAGAAGGACTCACAGAACTCAGCACACAGTTGTACTCAGAGCTCAGATTCATTACAGCCATACAGAAGGATACACAGCCAGATAAGAGAAAAGGACAGAGGTAGAGTCTAGAGGAATCTGTGTGCAGACTTCCTTATGTTCTCTCTTTCCCATGAGGGGTAGCACTCTGCACCCTCTCCTTCCGGCAACACAACACAGCAGCACGTGTGAGGTTTCTGCCCAGGGAAACCCACTAGACACTCAGAGCCCAAGGTTTTCCCTGGCAGCTAGCCATGTAGGCCCTCTCTGCCTAGCGTGTTCACCATAAATACACTGTATAAAAAGCCCAGACTGAGCCACCCTGATCAGTTAGGGAGGTGTGGAACAGTCTGGAATTCCAGACACCAGCCAAGAGCCACTCTTGCCAGCAGGCCTTTCTAAGGAGAGCTGGCCTGTTATGTTAGCTCTTTTCCGCACGGGTTCCTGAATCCTGCATCATCTGGTTCCCTGCTGCCCTGAAAGACGTCTAGTCGCATCCCTGTCTCCTCCCCTCTGTGTTCTCTTCCACTCGGGCTTAAAACCAACATCTCTTCACAGTGGTATTCAAACTAGCATCACTGCCCGAGGGCCGGGTTTCTGACTCCCTTGCGAACCTAGTCTGAGGCTAGCTATCTTAGGGTTAGGGAGCCCAGGCTGGAGGGTTTCAGCAAGAGCACACCGGTCCCTTCCTTGTTCTATCACTAACTGGCGGCGTGCCTCGGTTTCCTCATGCGTAAAAGCCGAAGGTCGGTTCCAATCAACGCTGACATGTTAAGGTTCAGTGATCTCGCCACCAAGTCGTTCCCCCCACTTCCCAGATCAGCCCCGCTATGGCTCTTCTGTGCAGTATCTTACTGCTACTCTCCGCGGGCATTACACTGGGCCCCAGCAGCCCAAATAGACGGGGGATTATGAGGGTTTCCTGGACACCTCCAGACCACTGACTGATGTGGGTGTGTTGGGGGCGGGGGGGCGGTCTTCGTCTCTAACCTCGGGTCTCCCACTCTGTCCTCTCCTCCAGCTTCTGTTCAGCCCCAAGGGCACAGGCACTAAAAGCTGGTTTGAGGAGTTGGGGCAGGAAAACAGTGTAGGGAAAACCTGGCTCGTCCCTGGGCCTGGCCCAGTTCCCACCTTAACCCAGAAAACAGGTTTTACTTTCCTCCCTCTCTCCCCCACCACTCCCCCCAAAGAGTCGGCAGAAGCGTCTGCCCCCAGCTGCCATTAACATAAAACTCCCAGAAGTTCCGAGGTTCCTGGACAGACTAGGGGCCGCCACACGCCCCAACAGGGCCGTTCGCCGGCCGGGAGGGGGCGGCGCTGGGCGCGGTGTGCGAGCTGCACGCAGGCGCTAAGCGGGGCGCCCCGATGGGGGAAGACTCCCCGTGTCCCCGCGCGGCCCGGCCAGGAGCCCGCAGGCCTCGCGCCCAGCTCGGGGCCCGCGCCTCCCCGGAAGCCTCCCGTCCGCTCACCTCCTCCCCGCCGTAGCGGGCCAGCTCCTCCTCCGTGAAGAGCCGCACCGGGGGGCCCTGCCCGGCGCGGGCTGCGGGCAGCGCGGGGGCCAGCGCCAGGAGCAGGGCCAGCGCCGCCAGCGGCCGCAGCCGCAGCCGCCGCCGGGGCGCGGGGCCCGCCATGCTGCGCGCGCCGAGCAGGGCCGGGGCGGCCTGGGCGGCGGGGCCCCGCGCGCTCCCGCCCCTCGGCCCCGGAACCCCGCCCCGCGCGCGCCCGCCCCGCCCCGCGCCCTGGGGACGGCGCCGAGGCGGGGACCCGGGGTGTAACCCGCGGCTCCCGGCTCCCCAGCGCGGCCAGCGAGCGGAGCTAGAGTAGTTTCTTGAGTAGGTACGTGGAGGACACAGCTTCCGGCACCGTGAAAGGTATATTTATAAAGCAGGACCCCAACTTTATGAATCCCCTCATGCTTCTGGGGTGCCCGCCTGGCTCAGTTGGTGGAGCCTGTGACTCTTGACTTTGGGCTTGTGAGTTGGAGTGTGGAGTGTGCGTGTGGAGATTACTTACCAATAAACATCTTTGAAAAGAATCCCTTTTACTTCTGGCTAATTTCTTTTCCTTCCCAGTTGTGTTTAAATTTCCAGTCCGCGAGGCGATTTTTGCAAAGAGTAGGTAGGGCATGGCACAGATCTGCCCTGAAATAATAACAGCTAACATTGGTGCAAGGGTTCCTTCATTAACTTATTCACCAAATACTTTTTGAGGGCCTCCATGTACCAGCTCACCGGGGAACACACTGCTGAACAGGACAGATCCACTTCCACATGGAATTTACATTCTATGGGCAAAATAGACAAGAATAAAAATACTTACCTTGTATATTAGATGGTGATGAATACTAGGGAGAAAAAGCAGGGCAAAGGGATGGGGAGCATTGGGGGATGCAATTTTATTTTATTTATTTATGTTTATTTATTTTGAGAGAGAGAGAGAGCACAAGCCGGGAGGAAGGGCAGAGAGAATCCTAAGCAGGCTCTGCACTGTCAGCCTGACATGGGGCTTTAACTCATGAACCATGAGATCATAACATGGACACTTAACTGACTGTGCCACCCAGGTTGCTCTGGGGACTACAATTTTAAATAGGCTAAACAGGGAAGGCCCCACTGAGAAGGTGGTATTTGTATAAACATCTACTGAAGTGAGAGAGGTAGCTAGGAGGGGAGGGCCTTCCCTGCAAAGGGAAGGCAGGTGCATAAATGTTGAGGAAGGAGAGTGCCCTGCTTGTTGGAGAAACAATGGGATGGAAGAGGTGAAGGAGATGAGGTTTGGGAGGTCAAAGAGTGAAAGGGATGGGAGGTGGGGGGCAGGTCTTGTGGGGCCTTACATGTTATTTATTTATTTTGAGAGAGAAAGAGAGAGAATGCGAGCTTGAGTGAGCAGAGAGAGAGGGAGACACAGAATTCCAACCAGGCTCCAAGCTGTCAGCACAGAGCCTGATGAGGGGCTTGAACCCATGAATGGTGAGATCATGACCTGAGCTGAGGTCAGATGCTTAACCAACTGAGCCACCCAGGCCCAGTTACAGGATGTTGACTTTTACGCTGAGTGAATGGAGCGTAGGAATGAGTTGTTAGTGGAATGACTGGCTGTTGTGTTGAGAAGAGGAAGCTGCTGCAGTAATCCAGTGATCCAGGGGAGAGGTGATGGCGGCTTGCACCAGAGTGCTGGCAAGGGAGGCCGTGAGAAGTGAGTGGGTCCCAGATGTGATTTGAAGGCGAGGCTGACAGGATTTGCTGACCTATGAGAGGAGACCAGGGATGTGAGAGACAGAACAGAGTCAAGGATGACCCTGAGGGTTTGGGCGGCCTTGGGAACTGGGAGGGTAGAGCTGCCACTTTCCAAGATAAGGTGTGGGGGGTGGGGGGGAAGCTCAAGATCAGGATTGTTTAGTTTGAGAACTGAGAGCATAGCTATCTAAGTAGATAGCAAATTGACGGTTGGCTATATGAGTTTGGATATTAAGAAGGAGTTTTAGGCTTAAGATATAAATCATTGCCTCATTGGCATATAGGTTGTATTTAAAGCCAAAGAATGGGTGCCTGGGTGTTTGAGTTGGTTAAGTGTCAGACTTTTGATTTGGGCTCAGGTCATGATTTCATGGTTCATGAGACAGAGGCTGCCATTGGGCTCTGCACTGACATTGTGGAGCCCTTTGGGATTCTCTCTCTCTCTCTCTCTAATAAATGACCTTAAAGAAATAAAGCCACAGAAGGGATTAGATCATCAAGGACATGCAGATGGATAGGAAGGTGGAGAGGACCAAGGTCTCAATTCTTGGGCCCCGCCAACATTTTGTGGGTGGGAGAACAGGCAAAGGAAACCAAAGAAGGGCTTAGCGTGTGCCAAGAGCTGGCTCAGCACTTTTACTGGCACTAACTCATTTAATCCTCACTCTATGAAGAACTGTCACCCATTTTACAGACTATGATACCCATTTTACAGATATGATACAGACTTCAATACCTTGCCCAAGGTCACAGATGGGTGGCTGAGCTACGATTCAAACCCAGGCCCCCTCTCAGAGTCTTCCTCCCCTAACCATCAGGCGACGTCTTCCCTCAGGGACTGCCCCAAGGTTTCATACATTTACTGATTCAACAGAATGAGCTTCTAGTATAGAGCAACCTGAACAGGATCCATCATAAACCCTCTGAATCTCAATTTACGCATTAGTAATATACCAGCCTGCCTCCTTGATAGAATTGTGTTGAAACTAAAAAGGAGAATGGATGTGAGGGTCTGTGTGAGCTGCAGTGCGCAGTATCTGTCTTGTACTGTGTCACAGAACTCTAGGTTACAAGAGACCCTTTTAAACCCTTGAGTCCTCTTCCTGGTATCATCCCCTTCCTGGCGCATCATGTTCCTTAATAACATCTCTGGCATGGAGTGTGCTGCTTTCCTGCTTGTGCCTTGCACCCTTTCTCTCTCTACAGTTCTATTTGTAACTTCTTTGAGCAACAAGATACTCCCTGTAACTTCTACTGATCCAATTCAGCTTCCCCTTCCTGAGACTGCTGAGTCTAAGTTTATGATTTCAGAGCATGCTCCTGTGCCTTTGGATTTTTCCAGACATTCCTCTGATTGCCCTTCCCTACTTGAACCCAGATTCTTTTTTTTCCAAATGAATCAGTCACCTGCAAGGAGAATACAGATTATTCTAAATGAAACAGAATGACTGTAGTAAGAGAGCTGGCTACACAGGGGATGGAAGAGGCTGAGAAGAAACCCTGAGGTGATCTGACAATTAGAAACAGCAGATTAACAACAATCTGGCCTTAGAAGGGAAGAGGTGGTGGTAGTAGGGTCTGGGGGCCTGGGTCACCTAGCTGAAGCAAGAACCACAAGAAGCCTTTGCATCAGTGGCTGGAACCATGGAAAGGAAGCTGCTAGGAGCAGCGAACAAGAGAAAGAAAAACTCTGGCTTCTCCCTTGCCCTGACCCCCTCCAATTTCCCAGCAGTACCTCCTCTTGACTAACTCTGCTGGAAACCCAGCCAAGGACGAGTCTCTGCCTTGTGTGAAATTTTGTTCACCTGTAAGCATCAGGTGACTGATTAAAGCCACCTTGGTTGGCAACTCCATCATTGGGATCTCCGCTTCCGCCATAACAGGGCATCCTCCCTGTGTGTCTGTCTTCACATCGTCTTCCATCTTCTTGTAAGGACATGAGTCACAAGAAATGAGGGATCGCCCTTGCTTCGTATTTCCTCATCTTAACTAATACATCTGCAACAACCCATTTCCAGATGAAGCCCTGTTCTGAGGTACCAGGGGTTAGGACTTCAACGTATCCTTTTGAAGGACACAATTCAACTCACAACAGGAGTCCTTAGGATATAGATGGTAATTCAAAGCATGAGACTGGAGAGGAGTCCACTTCACTAGCCCCTAGGGAGTGAGTTGAAGGGAGATCAGAGACCTAGCGTGGGAATGCCATCCTGGAGAGTGGAGGGATGAGGAGAAACCAGCAAAGGAGCCTGAGAAGGAGCAGCAAGTGAAGTGGGAGGCAAAGTGGGAGCAGGTGGGGACGTGGAAGCCAGCGGAGGAAAGTAGACAGGGAGGAGAGGATCAGCTGAGGCTGATGATGAAGCTGATAAATGAATAGACAAGCAAAAAGCAGAACCAGACCTATGCATACAGAGAGCAAACTGATGGTTGCTACAGGGGATGGACAAGATGGGGGAAGGTAAATGGGCGATAAAGTTCCAGAATGAATAAATCACGGGAATAAGGTACAGCATAGGGAATATAGTCAGTGACATTGTAATAGCATTTTATGGTGACAGAGGGTAGCTACATTTGTGGTGAGCATAGCATGACCTGTAAACTTTTAGAATCACTATGTTGTACAGCTAAAAAATAATGTAACATTGTGTTACAACTACACTAAGAAAAAAGCCTCACCAGAAAAATTTTTTTAAAAAAGATGAGGATGAGGGAATGGCCATCTTATTTGACAACTCTGAGGTCATTTGTGACCTTGACAAGCATGTTTCAGTCGAGTGAGTGGATGAAAGCCCGATTCATGTGTGCTCATGAGAGAATGGGAGGAGAGGGCTTGGGGACTGCTAGCCCTGAAAATTCTATTTATGTGTTCATGGCTTTTCCATTCTAGCAGAAGGATCCAGAAGCGCAAGGATCTTGGAGTGTCCCATTTATTTCTGTATCCAGTGTCCGGCACTGTATTTGTTAAACCATGTTAAATATTATATTAGTGTCTCCTTCAAATGTGAGAATCTGTAATTTTCCAGTTTGGTCGTAGCAACATAGAGTAGAGAGGAATGATAAGGCTGGACTAGATTTTTCTGGTTCCTTCCAGCTCTAAAATTCTATGATTGTATGACTTGTTCTATCAACCACCCTTGCATTAATACAGTTAGGAATTTAATAACTTGTTTCTTGCCATTTGCAAGCAATTGTTAAATGAAATGGCTGGAGTAAGTGTTCCATTCATAAATTGAACATCGTTGAGTACCTACAATGTGTCAAGGTGCTATATATATATCCTCCCATTTGAAGATGCAAGACCAGGGACCCCAGGATAGGGGAGGGTGGTCAGAAGAGGTGAGGGAGGCTTCCTCCCACTACTAACACTCTGGAGGTCCAGGGTACTTTGATGTGGTTGGTGCTACTGCGGTTGCCACTGAGGAGGGAAGAGGCCCTGAGTGGCTTGCGTGCAGGCGGTTGCAAATCTGCAGCTGTCCGGAACACAGAGCAGCATTCACCGAGGCATAAGCAACCTCTATTGGCCTCACCACCAATCAGCCCAGGGCAGCCACACAGAATAGCAGTTCAGGCAGTAGGAGGAGGGGAAGATGTGGTCTTCGGATCCACCCTATTAGTGGGTAAACACCGTATTCTCCACCACCAGGAGGCTTCTGCCGTGGTGAACAGTGCCTTTGGTTTTTGCTGCATGATCTGTTTAGGCTCTCATTAAGGCACTGTGAGCAGAGCAGCGTTTCGGCCGTTGCATTCTAAGACAAAGGGAGGAGGTTTGTATTACAAGACCTGACGGAGGGGGGCAGAGCTAGGACAAGAACCCAGAGATCCTGACTCCAAGTGTCTACCCTACCCTAGGAATAATGGAAAGCACTTGGATTCTGTAGTCTGATCCTGAATCAAATAATCTTTACTTCATTACTGCCGTCCCCAAATCCTGTCCGAAGCAAGATACTTGTTTTCTTAGCCGTAAAACAGGAAGAAAAATGCCCTGCTTACAGGGTTCCTTCCAACATCAACGGCATGATATGAGCGAAAGTGCTTTGTAATATACAAAGTGCTCTGCAGACATTTATTACCGGTTATAAATCACCAGACTGCCTCTTGAAGTTGTAGATTAGGTTCCCTCACTCATCGGACTTAATTACCCCTTACTCCACTCCTTTTCTCCGTTCCTCCTCCTCCCACAAACAGAGGAAGTGAGACGTGAAGAGAGCACGTGCGTCTAATGCCTGGTGCGGGTAACTCGCAGGCTTCGCTGCTCCAGTGTTGCGGACGGGCGCCCCTCACCCAGGACTACAGTTCCCAGCAACCCTTCCGGAGCCCCAGAGGCGGGCGGGGGGGTCTGAGGCGCATGCGCAGGGTTCCGCCCCGCCTGGTCTCGGGGCCGCCCCTCCTAACCGGTTTTGCCTGGCAGAGCCGGCAGCTTCAGGCGCCGCAGCCGCGGTACTCGCCCCGCGGCTTCTCCCGCGCTGTGGTGGTGTCAGGTGTGGCTTAGCTCGGGTCAGTACAATGATCCGGCAGGAGCTCTCCACATCCTACCAGGAGGTACAAAGCAGTGGGGGCGGAAGTAAAGTTTCCTGTGGGGCGCGGGAGCGGGGTCCCGCGGTCTGGGGGGTGGGGTGCGGGGTTGGGGGGGGCGTCCGGGCACGTCGAGTGAGCTTTCCAAGGAGTGCGGCGGGGAAGGTGTCCCCGCGTGCGGAGGAGCCGCGGAGCAGGAAGGAAGCCGGGCGCAGAGCCTCCTCCGGATGCTCCAGGCGCGGTATGCAGCCGGGGCCCCGGAGCCGTGACCCGTAACCAGCAGGTGAATGATTGAAACGGCGTCCGACCCAGGCAGCAGCGCGCCGGTCGCCCTTGACCTCGGCTGTTCTTTGCGAGTGGAGGCACGGCGCGCTCCTCTCGGCTGAAACAGATGCATGGGGGGCCGTTAGCCGCTCTGCAAGCGCAGGGCTTCGTGGCCCCTGGAGCTGTAAATGACCGGGATAATTACAGCTTGTTCGGTGGCCGCCTAACTTTGAAAAGGTGCTTTCGCCTACCTAGCTGCTTCTCGCTGCGCTCCGTTTGCCTTTCCACTCTCACCTTCTCCCACTACTTTAACTATCACTTTTCCAGCTCTTTGTCTTTTTCTTGTTTGTCTCGAGCTACAGGCTGCGGTTCCAGCTTTTCCTCAGGCCTCCTGAGCACTCCTGATTTACTGGAACTAGTGAGCTCTCCTTCTCCTCTCAGGTTCTGCACTCTGGTGATCATTCCCCCCCCCCCCCCCCCCCCCCCCCCCCCCCCCCCCCCCCCCACGGTTCGGTCGTCTCCTCACTTCCAAGTTCAGTCAGTTACACATCTTTAGTCCTCAAGTTTGTGTTACTGTGTCTGCTCTGACCACCCGAGTGAGGTGCTGTTACCATCTCTGCCTTTGTTGTCTCCCAGACTGTGCAGATTTGCTTTGAGGACCTGCCTTGATCCCAGAACATTCCTTTTTACCAGCACCTGTCCTTGATCTACCCAGAACAGTCCAAACTTCTTAGCAAGCTTCGGAAGCTCCGTGCAGCTCAGCATCCCTGTCTTCTCATCTCAGCCATCTGTGTTCTGACCTCACTGGAAACTCACTCTTTAAAATTTGTAAATGATACTGTGTGGATTATATAAATAATATAAAAGCAGGTGGCTTAACCCTACAGCGTAAGGGGAACCTGAGTTGGAGGCAGATGAGATTTGCCTAAGGCTTGCTGTTTTTTAGTGTCAGACCTGGTCTGGAATCTGACTTTGGAACAACTTTCTTTCTTCCCCATCTCCTCTATTCCAGAGGAACCAGATGGATTTTAACTGGTGCTGGGATTCTGTGGCCCCTAGATTCCTCGCCCTAGACTGTGAGGGAATCCAGAGGAATGAGTTGTGTCTTCTCTTGAAAGTTTTCAGGTTCATAGGGAGTAGAGCATAGTGCGTAAATACCATTTTGAAGTCGGAAAGCCTATGTTCCTGTCCTGCTCTGCTTCTGGCCATGTGTCAAGTCACTCCTCTGAGCCTTAGGTTTCTTCCTCTGCAAAGGAAGGTACTGATAGTTCCTATTTCACAGGGTTGTGGGGGTTCAGTGAGTTGGTGTATGGAAAGTGCTTAGGTCAGTGCTTGGCAGGGAGGGGACCTCTCAGTGGATGATAGTTCTTGTTCACAGGACGTGGGCGGCTCCCCCTTCTAGGGAGCTTTGGGGTCCTAGTTTGTAGGGCCCTGTCCTTTGCCATCCATATGTCACCTGTAGTCTTGCCTTTCCTAGTATGGCTCTCGAAATGTTGATTAAAGTACAGACAGTTACCCTGCTTGTTGGGGCAAAGCCAAAGGTAAAGTCACTTTCTATTTGAGGGTACCCCCAAGATGGAAGACACTGGAAGGATCTCTCCTTTTACCTTGTTCAGTGGCTCTTTTTGAAGTCCCTGTCTTTTGTGTTCTTCAGAAGGAGGCCTCCCAGCGGGTGACCTGCATGTCTCTTGCCTGGGTCGTTCTGGGAGTGGACCTAGCTCTGAGTGAGGTTTCTTTGCTGAAAGGAGATGTTGGATTTGGGGTTGGGGCTGCAGGTAGTCAGTAGGGAGCCGGGTTAGGAGTGTGTTGCTATCTGGGTTAGGTTGATCCTGGATGAGGCTTGGATCAAAGAACTTTGGGCCTTCCCAGGACTAATGTCCTTCTTTCTCTGTGGCTCACGACAGCTCTGGGGATCTCTTGATCTGTGTCCTCACTACCTGTATCTCATGGTGTCTTCTCCAGCCACTCAGCCCTTTCCCACTTGTTGGTTTTCTTTTCTTTTGGGCTTGGAGGACTTTAAACTGGACATTTTACCTGATTCTAGTGGGCAGGGGTGGAGGCATGAAAAAGGAGATGGAGGTGCCTGGCTGGCTTAGTCTGTAGATCATGCGATTTTCAATTTCAGGGTTGTGAGTTGAAGCTCCTCCTTGGGGGTAGAGATCACTTGATAAAATTAGGGGCACCTGGGTGGCTCGGTTGGTGGGTTAAGTGTCCAACTTTGGCTCGGGTCATGATCTCATGGTTCATGGGTTTGAGCCCCATGTCGGGCTGTGTGCACTGACAGTGTGGAGTCTGTTTGGGATTCTCTCTCTCCCTCTCTGTCTCTGCCCCCCTCCCCCATTTAAAAACAGAGGAGAGGAGATGGAAGAATAGTAGATACATAAGAGTTTTGTTTTAACCCAGGTCTCTTGGAGATTAATTTTTAATGAAAGTGTTTTGAGACCTTAAGTATTGACACTGTGAGCCTAAGAAAATACTTAGGAAAGTGATCCCTTTCCCCTCCCTCCCAATTCAGTGTTAGGTCCTTTAAACTCTGGTCATGATTTCCCTTGCCCTCTTCCTCAATGCTGTGAAGACTTGTTGGTTATTATTGCATCCTCTGCCTTCCCTTCTCAGTGGCTCGTTTTCCCCAGTTGACAGGTGAGAGCACTGATGAGGTGAGGTTGAAGTTGCCTGCTATCAGGCTGCTAATCAGTATATGTTTCTGGGATAGACCACCCTTCCCACAGGAGGCAGGAGCCCCTCTGCCCTGCGCCCCGGTGTCAGGTCTTTTCCTGCCATTTGCAGCCTGAGTGGGTGGACTTGAGCCAGTGTCCTGGAGAGCTCTGTCACCAACTTCACGGTTTCCTCCTCTCAGCAGAATCTTAGCTGTGTTTCCTCCTCCTCTGGGAAGCCGTTAAGATCATAGGTTTTGGAACTAGACCAACTTGGATTTGACTTCTGGCTCTATGGCCAAGGAAAGTGTTGTGGTTGAATTGTGTCCCTCCAAAAAGACGTGTGGGGAGTGTTAACCCCTAGTACCTCAGAAAGTGCCCTTATTTGGAAATAAGGTCATTGCAGATGTAATTAGTTAAGATGAGGTCATACTGGAGTAGGGTGGGCCCTAATCCAACATGGTGCCCTTATAAGAAGCTGATCTTGTGGAGACAACACAGAGACAAGCTTTCCAGACTCCATGTGAAGATGGAGGCAGAGATTGGAAGTGAGATGCCTCTGTAGGCCAAGGAACACCAAGGCTTGGTGGCCATTACCAGAAGTTAGGAGAGGACCATGGAAAAGATTCTTCCTCACGGCCCTCAGAAGGAACCAACCTTGCCAGCAACTTGATTTCAGATTTCTAGTTTCCAGAACTGTGAAGGGATAAACTTCTGTTAATTCTTAAGCCACCCTGTTTGTGGTGCTTGGTTATGGCAGCCCTAGGAAAAGAACATACGGGAAGTTACTTGAGTTCTCCGAGCTTCAGTGTCCTTAACTGTAGAATTGGTATAACGCACCCTCCATCATGTGATTGTGTGTGTGTGTGAGAGAGAGAGAGAGAGTTAAGTGAGAGGAAGCTTCTGCTTTCTCATTCTAGTCCTACCCAGCAAGGTTGATGTGGCTGACCGATTTGTCTCCCCCCTTTAGCTGAGTGAGGAGTTGGATCAGGTGGTTGAGAACTCGGAGCGGGTGGATGAGCAAGAAAAGGAGACAGACGGAGTGCAAGGTCCAGGAATCTTACCAGGTGAGTGGGTTCAGTGCTGGTGGCGGAAGGGCTGGAAAACGGTGCTCTGCTGTAGCCGGAGGCCCCAGTCCGGGTGCCTCGCCAGCGGGGGACCTGCAGGAGAGGAGGAGCCCCTGTGCCCTGGTGCCAGGTCTCAGGTATTGCCCTAGTTCTAATGCTATACATATTTAACCAGCCTTGCGACAGAGGGTGTGTCCAGGCCAGGATCCGCTCTTTTCTGTACTCTGGTTTGAGCCAGTTCCTGCAGCCAGGCCACTGGATGTGATGGGTCTCTGCTCTTCTGTTTGTTTTTTCCTAGGAAGCAATTAGTAGTTGAGCCTCTAATATCTGGGTCACTTCCCAGGGCCCTCGAGGAGAATATCTTATAGGCCTCACCTCCTGGACATTAGGCCTCGCCAGTATCATCACCCAGCTGGGCAGGGTCCCATCAGTCAGGTGGCATCTTAGGGAGTCTTATAGTAACGTTAGATAATGTTGACCGCTTCTTCCTCCTGGATACTCTCTGTGCCCTTATATAAGGTTACTCTTTACTTCCCAGACTGCTCTTTACAGTCACCTTCCAGCGCTTGCTCGCGCAAGCTCTCTCTCCCTCTCTTTCTTTCTCTCTCAGGAGGTGTCACCCAGGCCCTCTCCCTGCTTCTTGCTCAAACGTGACTGCCATGCTTACACCTCTAGTACAGAGGTTACCTATAAACTTCAGACTTCCATATCCTGTGTATCCAAATGCCCAGGCCATGGCTCTGGTTGGATGTCCCAAAGGTACCCTTAACCCCACACATCCGAAATGGACCTTGTGGTCTCCCCACTCCTGGCATGGCCCTCTTCCAGTGCTTCCTGTTTTGGCAGACGGAATGCATCACCCATCCAGTTGAACCGGTGAGTCATTTTTGCGCCCCCCCCCCCCTTTCTTCCCCTTTTTCTCTCAGCCACGCTGGCCTCCTTTTATTTGGGCCTCCCTCCCTTCCACTATCAGGTCTTTCTGTTGTTTTATTCCTCCGTTTGGAATTGTCTTCCCTCTATCATCAAGTTAATGCTTAATCGTTCCTCAGCTCACTCGTTTTCTACAAAGCCTCTGACCTCCTGGCTAGATCACCTGCACCCTCTAACCTGTCACTTGCAGCCCGCACACCTCTCCCCCGTAGCTCTCCTGGATGGGGCAGTGTATTTGTCTGCTTGGCATTTCATGAACATCTATCCTACCAGCATGTAAACTCCGTGAAGGTGGAGACAAGTCTGTTTTGCTCACCACCTCAGCCCCGTCCGTGCGATAAAGACTTGTTGAATGAGTGAATGGAGCCTCAGCCTGACCCTGACCTCTTAGGTGGATCGATTCTTGTATTTATACGGGAGAGGAGTGACATAAGATATGCTGTGATTGTGCCTAATTCTTAGGGAAGACTTTGTAGAAGGAAGGAGCCTGGAAGAGGAGCTGTTTACTGACTGCTTCCTCCGGACTGAGCTCTGCATTCCTGTTGCCCCATGTAATTTCATGACAACCCTGTGAGGTGGTCATCCCGATTTCGATGGATGAGGACCTGAAGCCCGGGGAGGTTAAGGAAAGTGTGGAAAGATCACATGGCTGGTAAACAGACAGGCTCGAGCTCTGTCTGACCCTAGGCTTTCTACTGCACCAGTGTTTTTCTTTTCTTTTCTTTTTTTTAATGTTGTATTTATTTCTGAGAGAAAGAGAGAGAGACAGTGTGAGCAGGGGAGGGTCAGAGAGAGAGGGAGATGCAGAATCTGAAGCAGGCTCCAGGCTCTGAGCTGGCAGTCAGCACAGAGCCTGATGCGGGGCTTGAACCCACGAACCGTGTAATCATGACCTGAGCCAAAATCGGACACTTAACTGACTGAGCCACCCAGGCTCCTCGCACCAATGGTTTTTAAAAAGTATTTTAAGCTTCCTTTTATTAAAGCTTATTGTGTACAAGGTAGTAGCATGGCTGCCCCCAGGCCAATTCTGGTCACTGCCCCTGAAGTCCTCAAGCCCCAGGGAGAAACACTATATTTATATTTATTTGCATTAACTCTGTATATAGGATTCTATTGCTTCTGTAACAAATTACCACAAACTTAGTGGCTTAAAACAACACAGATTTATTATCTTATAGTCTTGGAGGGCAGAAGTCCAAAATGGGTCTCACTGGGCTAAAGTTAAGGGTTCAGCAGAACTGAATTCCTTTCTGGAAGCTCTAGGGGAAAATCCATTTTAGTGCCTTCTCTAGCTTCTAGGGGCGCTCACATTCCTTGGCTCATGGCCCCTTTTCCATCTTCAAAGCCACCGGTGGCCGGTTGACTCCTATCTTATCATTCTGACATGGACTTCTGCCCCCTCTTCCATGTTTAAATGCAGTCGCAGGGCTCACATAGATAACCCGGGAAATTCACCTAACCCAAGGTCAGGTGAACGGCAGCTTTAATCCCACCTGCTGCCTTAATTTCTCTTTGCTCTGTAACTTGATATTCATAGGCTCATAGGTTCCGAGAATTGGGACTTGGACATCTTTGGCGGGCCACTGTTCTGCCTGCTGCACCCTGTACTGCCATTTGCCCCCAGTCTGAAGAGGATAGATGGAGACAGCTGGAAGGAGAGGAAAGACAGAGCTTCCTTTTGTGTTTCCTTTTATAGATAAGTGCCAGGCAGACTAGGAAGTGGCCATGATGACCTTTGGCCTTTGCCTCTCTTTTGCCTCAGATTCCTGGGGCCTTACAGCCTGAGGTCAGTCAGAGCAGGAGGCCAGACCTCAGGCAGAGCAAATTTGGGTAGTTCCATGGACTGGCAAGAGACTTCGTGCTTTCAGGGGAACCCTTCTGGGTTCGTCTCAGTTGTAGACCATAGAAAAGGCAGACTCAGAAGTCTCAGTAAGGAGTTGGCCCAAATTTGGTGCCCTGACACACAACTGGCAGAGCTCAGTTTCTGCCTTTGAGTCCTGTAACCGTAACACAAATAACGGTAATGATGGCAGCAGCCACCGTTTATTGGGTGCAGCCACGTACTAGGCCTGCGTAGGACTTTCCATATATACCCACATATCGTCTTCACGGCCACTCCATGAGGGAGGTGGTTAGTCCTGGTTCCTAGATGAGGAACAGAGAGGTCAAGTAATGTGCTCAGAGTGTATGAGTGGCAGGGCTGGGATTTGAACCCAGGGCTGTCTCCCAGGGTGTTCCGACTCTGGCTCAGTTTCTAGGTGAGGTGCTTTCCTGCTCCAGAATGCTCCCCTTCCTCCACCAGGTCACTCATGGGCTCTGTCACCTGTTATGCAACGTGCTAAAACCACAAAGGGGGCAAGTGAGACGGCCTGCGTCCCCTCGGGACATGTAGAGAGAGAAGACAGGATGCCCAAAGAACTCCCTCCTTCTCCAGAGCCTGCCCTAAACAACATACTGAGGGCCTTTTCTCCCTATTATGTGCTTTGCTAGCACTCAGTATTTTCCTTTATAGAATGTAGCACAGTCTAAAGGGCACATTTGTTGAATACAGTTCTTTAATCATTACTAACCCCTTGGGTCTGCCCCCGAGTCCTGTGAGGCAGTGCCAGAACTTTTTCTCCCGTCCCGCTTCATTAGAACCTGCTGCCTAGCGGAGCTCCTGGCCCACCGTGGGTGCTCAGTATTTATACACTTGGAGGGGGACACGGGGATTTGGAACAGGAATGTATCTCATGTGAGCAACTGGGATGAATGATGGAGGGTCAAGGAAATGATAGAGACAGGTGCTTCAGAAATGAATGAAAGGGAGCTGGTTAGTGAAGGGTGTGGGATTAACCTGAAGGAAGGGTGACTGGAAGGTGAAAGAGACGGGGCTGGCCAGGGAGGAGGGACGGGACGTGCGACCATGTAGAGGTGGGGATAAAACAGGACCTGTCGGAAACAGTGGGTTAGCACGAGTGGTTGGGGTGGAGGGTTGGTGAGAGATGTAGGAGGAGATGAGGTAGAAAGGACAGATTGGGTCAAATCATGGAGGGCTTTGAGTGTCCGGGTTTAGCCATTAGGGAGCAGGGGGTATTTAATGGGATTGGAGCAGAGCAGTAAAGGGTGAAGCGGGCAGGGAGGAGCAGCGTGGCAGTGCCGTAGGGCTGGATTAGTGGAGAGAGGACCATGCTGGGTCAGAGGCTGGCGGGGTGGGCTGCTTTGATGTGGGGGAGCGGGAAGAGGAGGAATGAAAGGAGACTCTGAGGTTTGAAGCCGGGTGAGTGGGAGAAGGTAGACGTACAGTCCAGGGGTGAGCAGCTGGAAGAGAAGGTGCTTCTCTGCTGCAGACATAAGCTTTGTAGACGTAGTGTGTCTGTGCGGAGAGGCCCAGAGGCAGAGAGAGGTGTAGGGCTGCTGGAGAGAGGTGAGGACTGATGTAGTTAAAGTACGAGCTTTGAGAAAGCCTGGGCAGCCTGGAGAGTGAGCTGTGGGGACTGAGCCTCAGGGAATGGCCACATTCGGGGGCCAGAAGAGGAGGTGGAGCTGGAGGCCTGGAGGCGGGAGCCTGAGACAGGAGGACGGGACAAGGATGCTGAGCCCGCTGCTGTTGGGCACAGAGGTTCAAGTTAGGCACCCACACATTCAGGATGATACTCCCAGTTGTGCTCTCTGAGATAAATAATTCCAGTCCATAATCTCAAAGCCTCAGTCTGTTTCCTTTCTATCAAGGGAATTACAACCACTTACTTTTTTTTTCTAAGGGAGAAATGAGACCAGACATGCTAACTGAATAAGCAGTTTATTATATCACTGTTGTAATAAAATTGAGGAAGACACTTAACTGACCAGTCATTACAGTCCGTTCTCCATGGAAACAACTGTATATTAATAGAACTTAAAAACATAAGCAACCAAAGAAAAGAATTAATTGGATCTCATCAAAATGAGAAACTTTTGTGCATTAAAGGATACTACCAAGAAAGTGAAGAGACAGCCCACAGGGTGAGAGACAGGATGTTCACATCCTGGATGTGAGGACTTGTATTTAGAATATGTGAAAGAACTTTTATAATCCAATGATAAAA